GGGCACTCCAAGCCAGGACTGCTTTGCAAGCGGGGCACTCCTGAGAACTGTCTGTCCGGGGTGGGGGTCGGGTCCCTTTAAGCACAGCCCTCGGCTAGTCTGAGGCAGCAGCTCCACGCTCTAAGTCCTCATCTGATGCCCTGCCGGCACTGCTTCCGGCCATCCTTAACCCTGATTCAGGGTCCACTTAATGTGGACATGCTAGTTCGAATTAGCAAAACGCTAATTTGAACTAGTTTTTTAGTCTGGATCCGTTAGTTCGAATTAGCTTAGTTCGAATTAACTAATTCAAACTAAGTTAATTCGATTTAGCGCTGTAGTGTAGACATACCCATACAGATTTGCACAGGCACATTTAGGGAAGGTAGGTACAAACACTGCCAAAAATGTATGACGTCTTCAAACTAATGAGTAGGAGAATGTGTAGAAGATAATCCCACACAGTAAAAGGCCTGACCAACATCAGCTTCACACAGGAGCTCTACGGTGAGCACCTTCAATTGTGCTGATCTCAGGAGGAGCAGAGGGTGCTCAGCACCTAGCAACATTAGGTTGTGTGTTCCCCAGACTGAAGTGCTTTCCGATCAGTTTTTTCACTGTGTTGGAGCCTTCTAAGGACATTGTGGTTACTGAGAACCATCCAGGAGGTGATCAGAATGCTGCATGACCAGGTGCTTCAATGAGCAGATAGAGGATGATCCCCTGAAACCACATGTGCAGGGCCAGATTTTCAAAGGCATTCAAGTGCCTACAGATGCACATAGATAGGCACCTAATGGGATTGAGAAAAGGACTTAAATCAATTAGGTGCCGCACACCAATTGAGTTCAATTGAAGTTAGGTGCTTAACTGGCTTACATGCTTTTTTAAAATCCTACAAGGCATCTATCTGCAAATCTAGGCACCTTTGAAAATCTGGTCCCTAGAGAATTCATCAACTTTTCTGTGCCTATTTAGCTAACTAATCTCTGGTTGCCATCTTGTTGAAAATGAAATTCATACCAACTCTCCATTGCAAAACAAGTTTTAAATGGGCTTGTGTTTAAGTGGCCTGAAATACAAGAAATGTACTTGATCTTTAGCTACTCTGGCAAACCATTTGGAGCAGGGGGGTTAGCCTTTAATAAAAATTCTTGAAATCAATAAAATGCTCTACTCCAACTAACCATCTGCAAGATGGTGCATATACTTCACAGCCTATGAAGTGATACATTACAATAGCTGCCCAGTTGTTAACAGCTGCCTCTCTCCTTCTGTGTGTCCAGCAAGAGCTGAAACTGACATTCAGACATGGAATTCAAAAAGTGGACCAGTTCTGCAATTATCAGGGTGGATAGTGACCCTAGAACAGTCCCTTCCCTAAAACAAAGCTACCATAGACAATATTTCCCTTGCTACAAAGTGGATGCTGTATTGCACAGAGATGCTCAGATCCCATGGTGATGGCTGTGGTTTCAGTACCCTGATTGCCACTACAGCTGATACATGATACACGCATACCCATATTCTGATTTTGGAATGGGATGTTTGATTTTAATTGAAGTCGGAGGAGACAAGAAGGTCCTGGTGTACATAGATATAATGGCCACCCTTACACACAATTTCAAAATCCTCATGGCCTGAAGATGTTAAGGGGACATCCCTCCCATTATTCAGGAGTAATAGGTTTGGCATCTTCCCCCTTCAATCTGCAGGCAGTATCTAAAGTCCCTTTGTAACCTGGCCACTGCTAGTAAAGTCCTGCAGCCTCACTCCATAGCTATAGCAGAAACAGTGACCAGTTTTCTCATCTTCTTCCCCCACTCCAACAGTTGACTGCATAAGAAGTTGTGGCCCCGTGGGTCTGCTCAGCTTGCAGACTCAGTGATATACACTCACCCCACCTTGGCCCCTCCACACCCACCACCATGGACTCTAGTGGAGAAAGCCATCTCAGAGCTGGGTTGCACAAGACAGAAGAAGCTGCATAATCTTCTTGCATAGCTTCCCCACAGCCCAGCTCCCCCTCCTTCTCCTGTAGAATTATAGATATGCTGTTGCACTTTATGACTAGTCTGCTTTCATTCTTCCCTCTTCAACTAGTGGTGAAGGGCAAGATTTGGCCCTTTATTCATAAGTGGCACATTTTGCATAATCTTTACAAATAATTCAGGAATGAAAGGTTTGAGCAACCTTAATCTATATGCTATTTTCTTGGCTTTCTAGACACAGCTGAGTTGGCTCATCTAGTTATTGGATACAGGAATTGCCTCTTAGTGAAACGCTTGATTTGCATAACACACTTGCTTCTTTGAAAGCACAGACTTCCTCCCAAACATATAACATGATTCTGTGTTATTTTCCATTAATTTACAAGGGAGAATTCAAGCTTTAACCCCTCTATTTTATTTCACTCTTTATCAGCTCTACTATTATAACAGTGATGAAATTGCCAGGTCTCATTTTCAGGATTTTAAATTGTGAGTTTATATTGCAATCTGAAAGACCATTCTCCAAGTTCACCCTGGGATTGTAAAGTATTTATTTAACATATCTATCTGAATCTTTGAGAATAAAAGCACACCATATCTGAACATACAGGCTCAGGAGTTTCAAAGTCTCACACTATAATAATACTCCTCTATCAGTTTAGAATACTTTCCACATGGATCTCAAAGCTCTTTATAAACATCGAGTGAATAAAACCTCACAACACTCGAGTGAAGGAAGGAAATATACCTTTTTGTGCATGAGAGAACTGAGGCAAAGGGCAGTCAAATGACTTGCACAAGGACACATGTTAAATCAACTACATAGCAAGGAATAGAATTGGGACCACAATTCAGAAAATTTGAAAATAGTTTGATTTTCAAAAGTGCTGAGCATTCTGAAGCTGTCAATGAAAAAGTGTTCCAAGGACAAAGTGTGACTGAGTATTATTTTTCCACCCTAGAATTGGCTGCATTTCAGTGGTGAATGAAATAATTCCTGGAATAACTCATATATTTATGAGGCTTACAAAACTCATTAGGACCCTTTGGAATGAAAGGCATTATGGTTGTGATATTCAAAGGAGCCTAAAGGATTCAAGCGCACAAATCCCACCGAGGTTCAATAGGAGATGAGTGCCAGACTCCCCTAGACACCACTGAAATCCCCAACCTAAGATATATGTGCATACAAATAAAAATTGGGAATACATAACTGCTTAACACATTTTAAAATATGATGTACATATTTGTGTACCAATTTGCATCTGTCCTTTTATTTATATAGTATTAATCAAGATCTTTACTGTAATCAAACAAGCACAGTGAGCAAAGATTGCTAATAACAAAAGGCCAAAGAATAAACATTAAAAGAAGTAAGAAAGTAGTTTGTACACCAGTTTAAACCAGCAGAGGGTCCAGGTCTACATGTACATTGTATTTCAAGTCTATCCATAATTACTGCTGCAAAAAATAACAAAGGTAATAAAAGTTCAACCAGACTCAGAGAAAGATCAGTGAATAAAGATCTCCATTCCCACAGACATTAGTGAACTTTTATCATGACAAACAGGCTATCGCAGTATAATGGGATTTTACTGAAGTTTATTGCTGCACTGTTTATAATAACATTGCATCCAGCCTGCCTTGTTGGTACTTTTGCATTACAGGGTAACAGTTCTGAGGTGGCAGCAAACAGCTTCCGTGCTTGTGTCAGGAGAAATAAAACTGTTATTATTTCATACACTTCAGAGGCCACACTCAAACTCAGCAGTTATGCAGAGCTGTTGTGAATAGAAAGCTCTGCTGTAGAACACTGGGCTGCCCCCACAACAATAAGCTGTCTTCCCTCCAATCTACTTTTGGCTTCCTGCCAGTTGCCCATTTGCTTTACACCATCAATTTATATTCACTGAGATGGTGTAAGGTTCTAGAACAGCACTGATTAGCAAATGTGCCTGCCAAACATATGAGCAGTAAAAGCTGGTCTTCCAGAGGCCTACGTTTATAATACAAGGGCCCAATCCCGCAAGGACTTACCACAAGACACGTTGTTTACAAAAATAAGCTGTCCAAATGATGCCAAGGGGACCTCGTATGGTAATAAACTTTGTATCTGGTGAGACGTCTTTGCAGAATTGGGCTCTAAGCTATTTAACTTTGCCCATTCCAGTTTTAGAGTAGTTCTCTTTAAAAGCTTTTCAGTCTGGTATAATCCAGGCAAAAATGCTTGTGTTTTTTGCCAGTTTTGTTTTGTTTTTGTACAGCAAAAATTTGCCAGCAGATATTATTCATTACTATACATGTGGAACATTTTTAATAGAGAATTGAGTATAGTAAGACAAGTATGCAATATTTCCAACCCTAACTACTCAAAAATAGAGAATCAACCCCTTCACCCTTTAAAAAAGTTATACATTTTGGTATCTCTTTATTTGTCTTCTGACTTTTGAACCTGTCCAGTGTGGTCAAGTCAATTTTTCAAGTTTTTTCATGCACCCTTAAGAGCTAGAAATTTACTTGATTTTAAAATGAAAATTGAGGGTCTGAAATAAATGCCAAGAGCTGGCAAGGGCCTTCAGAAAAATGTGGTATATCCTGAGACACACAATTAAAATCAGGAGAAAAATACTGTGAATTTTAGGAAATTAACTAGCTTTAATTAATTTTTTCTTTAAATATTTTCAACTTATGAGACTCTTGTGAGGATATTGTTTGGTTATACATATATAAATTGCCCTGCATCTAAGGCCAAGTCTACACTAAAAAGGAATGTCCAATCAAGATACACAACTCCAGCTACCTTAATTACATTGCTGGAGTCAACGTACTTTGTTTTGAGTTTATTTGCCTTCCTGGAAGGCCAATGGAAACAAACACTCTCATTGGCTTCCCTTACTCTTCACAGAAGGAGGAGTACTGGCCGCCCGCAGACACACCCTCTGAGTTTGATTTAGCAAGTCTTAACTAGACTCTCTAAATCGAACTCTGGAAGATCGATCACGGCAGTGTCAATCTTCCATTTAGTGAAGACATGGCTTTAGAGAAGCTAAAATTCCTGACTCTTTCTTTTCCACATGTACTACAGTGAGAGCCACTTACTGATAACTTGAAACCATTGGCCCTTATGTGAGACAAATTCCTTTCAAAGTCAATAGGAATTGTCCAAATGTAACAAAAGCAGGATGAAGCTCTAATTAATGAGAGATAAAAAATGACAAATGAAGAGGTTCCACAGAATCATTATGACTATCTGTTTGGAAAGCAAACCTGTAGTAATAAATACATCACAGACCTATTCTTTGACAGAATGCTACACTATAGCACCTACACAGTACACTCAAAACCACACATGCATTTTCTTAGCTTTATTTATCAAGTCCCCCATCCTAAATGCTGCGCAGGCAGACTCACATTCTGGTGGAGTGCTCAGCAAGATCAGACCCTGTATTGCCAGCTATTTGTAAATAGGAATACTATTCAGAATACGCATCCTGTTGAAATGTAACTTTAAAATACCCTACCGTATGTCCTATGTTATTTGAAGAGAGATGACAGAGCCAAGGATTGGATTTCCCACTCAACATTGATTATTTATTATAGCTCATTTTCTTGCACTTTAATATGTGTTGTCTGTTTTTACGTATTTGGGGACAAGAGATATGGGTTGAGATGCACAACTTGGATTCAGATTCTGAACTTCAAATAGCCCGTAGATGCTTGGATCTGGCATTTTGGTTTGGAGTCTCCTGTACTATAAACAATATCTCAAATAAATTCCAAACTGCCTGTCAACGTACTCAAACTGTATTTTCTTCTAACCCTTCTCTTCCCTCTTGCCGGTATGTGACTAGAAATCTTTAGCTGATTTTGACTGAAGGTATCAACTCTTTAACTCATTGTTTAAGTCAGTGAAAGTGCCCAGGTTGTCTATGTCTATTTAAATATATAGTAGGAAAGTGGCCCAACAGAGACCACAGGGCTTCTGACACTTGTCTTTATTGCCCAGTCATAAATTCATAAAGGGATGTATACTACAACCAATTGGCAAGTTTGTTGGATAAACATCAACACCAATTTAATGACTTGTGTACACATTGTAAACCAGAGAATCTTTATACAAAGAAATCAGATAAATCAAACATGAGCTGAGGCTTAGAGAGAAGCAATTAAAGCTTTAAGGTGAGGTTGCTGTGGGAGGGTCCTGTATCACATTAGAGCATATAATAGAAAATGTGTTAACATGGACTAAAGTATGTGCAATTAAATTAATTAGTAATATAAAACACTTCTAAAGCAATGTGTCCATAGACAGATAAGTAGATAAAACATAAGAGATAAATAAGCATCCAGAGATCTCAATTCCCTTTTTCATTAAGGAAAAAATGAAAATAGAAATCAAATTTACTAAATAGACATTTTAAGCAGTCTTGTTCACCCCAGGCAGGTGACAGAAACGAAAAAGCATAGCTGCAACACACACAAATATCTATTAATTTGTTATGTAATGTTTAATTTTTTATACCAGCCTATAAGACAATTTAAATCTAGTGCCTTCTAGACTTGTATAAAATACTTCATGATGTACTACTTTCTGAGGACTTGTAAGGAAACTTTCTGTTAAACAGGTTTATTATGGTATCTCACTGTCTCTCTCTTAAGGTGAGTAAGATAGCTAACGTGTGGGAACCAAATTCTCTCTACTATTTGCACATCAAAATGAGCTACTAAATATTCCTTCTCCACCAAAACACAGGCATAATATTCTACCGGGATTAAGGACCATTAGTGTCTATAGACTGTTATGTACAGAACAAAAGCTCCCTTACCTACAGACACATCCCCTGTGTCATGTACAACAAAATTCCATGGCAGCACCACAGGAAGAGTTGGGTCAAGAGGTCCATTCTTGGATTAATCCACATGCACCAGAGATAATACAAAGAACCACCTGAGTAGTTTCAGCAAGTCAACTGTGTCTCCCTAGCAATGCCTCATCCCCTGTATCTCCTACCACTCACATTCTCCCCAAAGAACATAGTCCAGTACTGAACTGAACTGAGTTTTTCTAGTATCAGAGGGGTAGTCGTGTTAGTCTGAATCTGCAATAGCGGTGAGGAGTCCTGTGGCACCTTATAGACTAACAGAAGTGTTGGAGCAAAAGCTTTCATGGGCAAAGACCCACTTTGTCAGATGAGTTTTTCTAGTAGCTGGTGGAGGGTCTCCATGTTTGAGGGTCAGATGTGAGAAAGTCTGGTTGTACAGGAAATGGGTGCTCCCTCACTTGACTTCTTCCCTGACTTCCCTGACCATACAGAACTTCAAAAGCCAGAATGTAGCTGTGGCTTTGCCTGTCTTCTAGGATCCCAGTGATATCATACACAAGCTTCACCTCATTTCATTTGGTGCCTTCTGCTGTTACAGGGATTTCTCAGGCTTATGCCATCAATACATACAGCAAAAGTCCCAAGTATTCAACACAAGTTGAATTTAGAGGTTTGAAGCAAAGGTAATTGTATGAGTTCACAAACATTTTGTTATTCACTCTAACTTGTAATTCTTGGACCCCTAAAAACATTTTCTTTGTTTTGGTGATCGTAGGATTCCATTTATTCATATCTGAAATGATAAGATTCTAGAATTTAGCCATCATAATGTAGAATGATGTTAAGTCTCTCCTAAGGAAAACACAATATACACAACTTATGTAAGGGGAAAATGAAAAAGGTAAGTATTTTCATTAGGGGCTCAAAAACAATGTTACCTTAACAGCCCAAGCAATATGCATCATTACTTTTAAAATAAATACTATGGGGCTATACATTCTGCTTAAGTTAGATTTTCCATGTAACCAAGACAGAAAAGTAATGGAATGTATCTCTCATGCCTACCCATATCTGAAACTAGTATTCACTCACTTTAATTATTCACTATTCAAAGGGATGTTTGGTCAGTATGTTAAAGGAAGAGAGAGGTTAGGGCATGTCCAGCTGGGCATAGCAAGGGAGATGGGGATGAGATTTTTCCTGAATGAGTAAACAATGTTGACTCTAAAGTGCAAGGCTGAGAAATATTTTGAGACAGTTAGGTACACAAATTAAAGCTTCCCTGAGATAGCTTTAAGTTGTGTGACTGGGTGATTTGCTACCAGTATGTAACTGCCAAAGTCTCATTAACTTTGGCAACATCACAGAAGTAATCTTTCCACACAGGCAAACTGCTCACAAACAAACTCTGCAATATATCAAGCCTTAGTAGAATTTCTACCAATATCAGACATGCTTCCTAGGTCAGATTTTGGTCTCATGAACATTGTTGTAAATCTGGAGTCACTCTATTGACTTTAAGAGAATGATTCTGAATTTAGTTCAATGTAACTGAGAGTAAAATCTGGCCTTTATCTTCTTCTTCCATCTTCCACCTCCTTTGTATTTCATGAACAACTATTAATAATATTAGCACTTTCACTTTATTATAGTAAATGCTGGTAGTACAGCCTATATTTATGATAGCTCTTTGCTTCCTATTATGAAAAACCTTTTTTTCAGTTGTTTATAAGTTGGAAAAACATTAATAACTCAGGAAATTTACAGCCTAAGGCTGATTTTTTTGGTAAGTTTCAGCAAAAATGGTTCATCCATTTCTGAGAAAAACAGGGAAAATATTTTATTTTGCTTATGTTAAAAAAATGTACAACAGTTTCATGGGAAAGTATTAACACTCTACACTTGCTCCCTAGTTTGAGTTAGGGATGCAAATGTAGGCGACCGAAATTGCTAATGAAGCGGGGATTTAAATATCCCATGCTTCATTAGCATGATCTTGCCAGCACGTTACTCCACTCAACAACTGATTTGAACCAGGAAGTGTGCACCGGGACACGTTAGTTCAAACCAAACCCTCATTTTTTGAGGATTAACGTTAATTTGAACCAAGGGATTTGGTTCAAACTAACGCGTCCTGGCGCGCACTTCCTGGTTCAAATCAACTGTTGAGCAGAGCAATGTGCCGGCAAGATCATGCTAATGAAGCATGGGATATTTAAATCCCCGCTTCATTAGCAATTTTGGTTGCCTACATTTGCATCCCTCGTTCGAACTATGCGCTGAAGCTAGGGCTTAAAATATGGCAGATTTTCACACACACACACCCCAAAAATCTGCCCAAATTTGGCCAAGTTATAAGCCTTTGAAAAAGGCATACACTAAATGTTGATTCTTAGGGCATATCTACACTGCAGGGCAAAAGTCAAATTAAGATACGCAACTTCAGCTACATCAATTGTATGGCTGAAGTCGAAGTAGCTTAATTTGGTTTTTGGCGCTGTTGACAAAGCAGGAAGTTGAAGGAAGAACACTCTTCCTTCGACTTCCCTTACTCCTCGTGAAATGAGAATTACAGAAGTCAGAGTAAGCAGTCCGCCATCTCAAAATTATTTCAAATCATGGCTTGCTGTGTCGACGTGCTTTGTTATTTCAAAATAATGTAAGTTATTCCAAAGTAACACTGCTGTGTAGATGTACCCTTAGAATTTGGCACCTAAAAACTGCAAAGATTCCATCTGTATAAACACAGTCCCTAAGTGCTGACAGACTGGACTATGCATGAATCATCCTCACAGAGTAAGAGTGTATATGTTCCACCCCAAGATGAGCTGTGGGTTCATATGGGGCAGGGGCAGCAGCAGGGGCAGGGCCATCCGTAGTGTTTATGGGGCCTTAAGCAGAACCATTAAACAGCTGCCCCATGGCCAATGCCTGCTAGAAGGGATGACTGTTTTTTAGAGATGTGATTTTCTAATCTTTAGCAGCACACTAATAAAATATTTTAAAACAAATTTTGAACTAAGGTCCTGTGTTAGACTAACACAGTAAATTCAGGAACTGACAGTATATATCCGAGGTTGGCAAATGTCTGTTAAATGGCTTCATTACCACGTTAATGGCTCTTTCACAGGGTCTATGTTCTGCTAATAGGTCTGGCTGGCTTTTTCACTTTTAAGTTATCTAGATCCTCTCTGGAGGAAGCAGAGCCACAGAACAGGGATAGGAAGAGGTGGAAGACCCAGTGGTGCCCCATATTTCCAGGTGACCTACACAACTGTGTATTCTGCATATGGGTAACGACTCTGGGCAGGGCATAGACTCTGCGAACAGGGAGACTGCCTTCCTACTGTTCTCAGTACTCCCTCTTCCATGGATGAGAAAGCTGCATGACCTGCATGTAGAGGGAAAC